GATAGGATTCCTCGTAATAATAATTCATGACTAGAGGAAACTACAAATACCATAACTGTGTGTCTTACTCATGAAGTCGTGCCCCAGTATAATTCTTTCATCGAGGATGGTGTTGAGCCAGTGCATAAATTGTGGGAATTAGACAGCATTGGAATAAATGTAAATGAAGAGAGTCCAGACGATTCTTTTACTCAAGAACAATACCTGAGAGATGTAAAATTTGAATCTGGACAATACTGGGTATGACTTCCGTGTAGACTGAACCATCCAGAATTGCCCACTAATTACAGAATGGCATATGGACAATTAAAGGCTCAGCTCCGCAAACTGAGTAAGACACCAGAATTGTTAACTGCCTATAATGATATAATTGCTGAGCAGTTAATTAATAAATTTATAGAAGAGGTACCTCCTGAGCAAGCCAAAATTTATGGTCACTATTTGCCACATCACGGAGTGAAGAAGGATTCTAAGACCACTCCTTTGAGGATTGTGTTTAATTGTAGTGCCAGGAAACAAAAATGTACCTAGTTTAAATGACTGTTTGATAACAGGTCCATCATTGATGGAAAAATTAGGAGATATCTTATTAAATTTCAGAGTAAAGAATTATGCCTTAAAGCTTTCCTAAGAGTGGGTTTACAAGAGGCTGACCGGGATTGTACCCACTTCTTATGGCCTGAGAATCCTATTGACCCACTTAGCCCTCTGAAAACCTTTCGCTTTAGGAGCGTATTATTTGGTGCTACATCCAGTCCGTTCCTACTTCAAGCGACGATAAATGCACACCTTAAATGTATGGGAAGTCCATTGAGTAAAGTAATGAGCAAACAATTTTATGTGGACAATTTCCTGGGTGTGACGTCAACTGAAGAGGAACTGTTAATGACTTATGGAGAGGCTAATAAAATAATGCAAAGTGCAAATATGCCTCTGAGAGAATGGAATAGTAATTCGTCCAAATTGAACGACAAAATAAGTAAAGATTACCCTGGAGATGAAGTGCCAAAATGTAGTAATGTATTGGGTTTAAATTTGGATACTGAGAGAGATTTGTTAATGTTAAAACCTAATTACAGTATGCCCAATAAATTAACTAAGAGAGTTTTGCTTACTGAAGTTTCCAAATGTTTTGATCCACTAGGTTTAGTGTCACCCCTTACTATAAGAGGGAAATTATTAATTCAGGAAGCATGGAAACTTAAATGTGCTTGGGATGAAATTCTACCTGAGGAATTCATTAACAGGCGGGATGAATTAATTGGTGATTATGAAAAAATTCCAATGTTGGAGTTCCCATGCCAGGTGGCCAATCCAAATGGGAAAAATGTACTCCACATTTTTTGTGATGCTTCAAAATTGGCATATGGAGCAGTTGCTTATCTTCAATGTAATAGTGTTATTTCTCTTGTTATGTCTAAGGCTAAAGTGTCTCCAATTAAATCACGTGCCTTACCTCAGTTGGAATTAACAGCCATGTAGGTGTCAAATTAGCTAATTATATAAGAAATAAGTTGCAGGAGATAAATATTAGTGACACTGTAATTTGGTCTGATAATGAGGTATCCTTACAATGGATTCGTAATGGAAACAATAAAATTGTGTACGTACAAAGCAGAGTCACTGAAATTAATCAGATGCAAGAGAAGTATAATAGTTTGGGTCAGCATATGTTAACATTTAATCATATACCTGGTGAGGAGAATCCAGCTGATTTCTTGTCTCGAGGTTTACCTTATGCTAAATTTGTAAATGCTGTATCATGGTTTAAAGGACCGAGCTGGTTGGTAAATAAAGCTAATTGGCCTGTACAAAAGGCGTATATTGCTCCTGTTGAAATTACTGTGACCACCGCTCCAATAATTTGTCCTTCCTTAGCCATTGATATAAATAGGTATTCTTCTTTACCCAAACTAATCAATGTAACTAAATTGGTGTTTAAATTTCTAAACAAGATGAATATTTCATATAAGTTTTCACATCCTCTTGAATATTGGATAAAGAGGGTACAGGAGGAAATCTATGGAAATGAGATTAAATTGATGATGGAAAGAAAAATTGCGAAAGGTTCTATAACAGAGAAATTGGGGCTGTATTTAGAGAACAATGTAATTAGGTGCAGAGGTAGGTTACAAAATGCTGAATTGGGTGATTATGCTAAACACCCTATCTTACTGCCCAAAACTCATCATCTAACAAATTTGATTGTTCTAAATGCCCATAAAAATGTAATGCATGGTGGGGTACAAGATACCTTAAATTGTATTAGGGAAACTTTCTGGATTCCACAAGGACGGCAAAGTGTAAAAAAGGTGATTAAATCTTGTGTAATATGTCGCCGTGTGGATGCCAGATCCTATATGTACCCAGGTCCTCCACCATTGCCAAAGGAGCGTGTACAATTAGTGAAACCATTTGATGTAACAGGTGTAGACTATAGAGGTCCAATAATTTTAACAGGTGTCAAATGGTGTTCCACTGAAAGTGTATGTTTGTTTGTTCACCTGTACTGCTACTAGGGCAGTTCATTTAGAAGTGGCACAGGACTTGTCTGCAGAACAATTTATACAGCTGTTTCGAAAATTTGCAGCTAGGAGATCCTGTCCGAGGTTGATGATTTCGGATAATGCCACAAATTTTGTAGCAGGTGCTCAACACTTGATAGAATTAAATAATAGTAACGATGTTCAATCTCTGTTAACCCAGCGAGGGTGTACCTGGAAATTTATTACTCCTAGAGCCCCTTGGCAGGGGGGGGGCTGTACGAAAGACTGATAGGCACAGTGAAGAGGTGTCTCCGCAAAGTACTACACCGGAAGAGAATTAATTTGGAAGAATTCCGTGCAGTGTTAGTGGAGGCAGAAAATCGTATAAATAATAGGCCTCTCTCGTACATGAGTGATACACCTGATGCAGATGTATTAACACCTTCTCATCTAATATGTGGAAGGAAATTGGAAGCTGCCCCTGTCTATAGAGATAATCCGGAAGAAAGTGATGAAGATTACAATGATGCGGCAGTGTTGTGTAATAAATATAAAATGTTAAATAAAGTAATTGATCATTGGTCTAATGTGTGGCGTAAGGAATATCTTCTTACACTACGTGAACACTTTTATGGTGCGACAGAGGCAGTAAATCGACAGACCATTCAACCAGGTGACATTGTGTTAATTGACACTGAACAACATCGAACATTGTGGCCTCTGGGCAAAGTATTGACATTGTACCCAGATGCACAAGGTGTTGTCAGGAATGTCAAAGTGTTGTGTCATGGCCAGGAAAGTTTACGCGCAATTAATAAATTGATTCCCATGGAATTAGGTGTTCAATCAAGCGTAAATGAAAATCTGAGGGAAAGTGACACGAGTGATATGGAAGATAACGCAGACCAAGTGATGCCGGAAGATGAAATCATAGCAAGACCTACTAGGAGAACAGCCACTCAAGCCAGAACTGGCTGGAATCGTCTCCTAAAGGAAGGAATAATTTGAATAGTTTAGCAACGAACTCCGGCCGGCCGCAGTGTGGAAAATACTGTATATATTTTCCAGAAATTCAGTATTTATGTGTAAATAGATGGCCATACTGTATTTAATAATATTATGTCATAGAAAACGGAAAGCCTGCATCTGGGCAGAGGAGACTCGCCATCTTGGTTTTGAATTGGATACGTTAGTGTAATGGGAAGGAATTTTCGTGCTCTAGAGGTTAAAATTGGGCTGACACCTCTTAAATAGGAGGCGAAATTGTTGGACATGCATTCCTGCATAACTTGAGATATCAGACGACTGGACAAGACAGCTCCAGGAACCTCAGATAAGCTCTCTAGATTTGTGTATAATTCTGGCCAGTGTTTTCATAAATTTAGTTAGTGAGGTTTTTCTGAGTATGATACAATTTAATATCCAGTCAAATTGGTGAGCGATATTAAGATATATTTTCCTTCTGTTATGTAATTGTGTATATATATAACCATTTATTATTTTTAATATACAGTCCACAAATTTATATATTTACCAGTATTCCTGGTGCATGTATATTTCATTTAATTAATAGGTCCAGAGCAACTTGTGGTTATGACAGTGGTAGGTATCGAAGGGGGACATTTTTGCTACCTAGGTGTCCCAAATTCCTACTTGTCTATGTAACATTGATAAATAATAATTATCTTTGTTATCATTTACTGTTATGTACATAATTAGTTACATTCAGATAAATGCAATTTTCCACAATGGGTATGGGGTGCATAATAAAGATATTAAACTAACTCAGCCTGGAGAAGAGTTCTGTTCCATAGTCTGAAATAGTCTGAAAAGACAAGCTACAGTGTGAAGCCTTGTATGCTGTCGGAAGGAGAGGTGCAGGGTGGTAGAAGAAAGAATGTTGAAGATTGAGACACTTATGCAACATATGGGAATCTTTATTGAGGAAACGTTTCGCCACACAGTGACTTTATCAGTCCAATACAAATCAGAATGGTGTAAGGAGAGGAGGAGTTTGAGGTAATCAGTCCCTCAGCCTGGAGTCGATGTGTTCAGTCCAGTTTGAGACTGATTACCTCAAACTCCTCCTCTCCTTACACCATTCTGATTTGTATTGGACTGATAAAGTCACTGTGTGGCGAAACGTTTCCTCAATAAAGATTCCCATATGTTGCATAAGTGTCTCAATCTTCAACTTGTCGGTTTTCTAAACCATTTATCACAAGAAAGAATATAGTCACTGAGAGGTCACGTCCCTCTGATCCAATAATTCTAACCTGAAAAAGTTGTCCAAGGTGTTTTCTCTTCTGCACCAAGATGCCATTGTGTTGCAGTGTTTGACAGAGTGAATATCAAAATGGTATACAATACCGACAGGATGGTAGGTAAGACACAAGGGCAACAGTTAGGTAGGTATACAATACCTACCATCCTGTCGGTATTGTATACCATTTTGGTATTCAAACGCCCTTACCCTGGAGGTCTTTGCGGTTTGTTCTATCATTTCCTTACATAAGCTTTCGTATTTATTTAGTATACAGACTAATTACAAGACTTACAAATATTAATCATGCACAATGGAAATGTTATTAATGACATACCCATTCGATGATAACGTCGGCTGGTGATCGCGGAGAGTGTCGCCGCTCTGAGAAAATTTTGCGAGCCACGAGGGATGGAGAGAGAACCCGCCACCACCAGGGTGACCCCCCGGGACTCTTGCCACTCTTCTTGCTGCCCAAAGTTGGTGTGAGTGACCGGCGTGAGCAGCGAGAGCTCTGGAAACTAGAACACTGCAAGTCTCGAGGAAGTGTGCTGCTCCGGGGTGTCAGTCTCTCAAAGCCTCCGCGCAGGGGCACCATGGGAGGTGTATGGGGCGAACCGTCCCAAACCCCGGAGCTGTAACCTGCTTCATAACTGAAGTTTAGGTTCCTGAAAGGAGTTGTGGACTGCTTGCGGGACTCATAATTGAGAGTCAGTATTGGTGTGGTTGATTTTGAGCTGAGGTTATACGTAGAGACAGGTGTGGTGTTGAAAGCGGAGATGGGCACTGTGTGATTGAGAGAAGACATAGGTGTAGATGATTTACAGGGCGTATTGGCAGAGTACTTGATGTTCCTAGGGAGTGTGCCGGATTTAACAGACATGTCTGCGTTGAGAGCTCCTCGGCGTTGCAAATGTTTAGTTCCTCCAGGGGAAATGATTCTGAGCCAGAAGCCAGCATCCCGCCAGGGACCTCCACGCCGCTCGAGGTGTCCTTTCCCAGAAAGCTGCGGCGACGTGGGACTGAAACCTCTAGGTAGAGCAACGTAACCCCCTTGGGGATCCATGGATCCCGTAGTGCCATCGGGTGAGTAATCCTGGAGACAGTAGAGAGAGGCCGAACTTGAGAACTGAGGGTCCAGTTTCCTGTTGAACCGAGGACTCGGGAACACGGCTGACCGCCGCCAGTTTTCATGAACCATGTTATTGTCCTTTTAATTTTCAGCTCACATTAAAAACCATTGCTAAAATGTTTTAATGTTCCAGCATTACTGAGTTTCGTTAACACTCCTGTGGTATAAAACATTATAACTGCAGACCAGGGCATGTGCTATTCATCACAATAATTATTACAAATGATTGTTTCAGCAATTCTCAATATTAACTCCCTCACATAAACACAGCAAACCTCAACATTTCTCTTCACGGTATGCTACAATGTAAAGAATATAAGTAAAACTTAATAATACATAAGATCATATTTTTATTAATTTAGCATCGATGGGACAGTTTAATGTGCAGTTCCAGTCATCCTAAGTACTACCCCGAGACAGTGCCAGTCACCTTGTGAGTACTATCCCAAAGACGTGACCACTCATTCTTTAAACACTACCCACAGAGTGCCAACTATCCTGTGAATACTACCCCTAGAGACACTGGCAGTCATCTTGACTGCCAGTGTTGTATGACTCTTTCAGATTTAGCGCTCAATCTGATTATTATTATTATTATTATTATTATTATTATTATTATTGACTGCCAGTCATCTTGTGAGTGCCACCTTCAAGACAGAGACTAATCATGAATACACTACCCTTAAAAACAGTAAATTTCAACCCACCTAGATGATTCGCTGATAACTGTCAGTTAATCACAGTTCGTGTGTATACGGATTCAGCAGAGTGTACAACCCTGGATAGAATGCGGACGGTCTCAGTAGCAGGTCCTATGCTAAGGCTCGTTAAACATGAACGTCACATTAATCTTCATACAGTGCCAGGCTCAGTTCCACAAGGCGCTCTCCTCGCACCTTTCCTATCTCGTTCTCAAAGCAGATATGAACACTGGAAACAAATTTACTCCACAGAAGAGGCTACCTTTAGTGTGCAAGGCGGATAGTAGCCCTTTGAGAGGTAGAGGATATTTCGATATACCAGATAATCTGCATAGTTCCTCTAGCAATGCTGAACACTGATTCATTCTTATTTCACAGAGAATATCTGGTGTCAACAGGCTGAGGTACAGGCCTATTTTGCCAACACAGTGAGGAGGAACATAGGACTGTCCTATATACAAGCATATAAAAGACATACATGCATAAAAGAACCAAGTTTGTGTGACCACCAAGTCTCGCCACCCGTGTAGAGAGCAACTACAATCAAACAACTGCCATTATTTAATATACAAATTAAAAGTGTGTGTTGTGGAGTGGGTATGTGCAAAGGGTGGTTGTTACAAGGTGTGCGTGGAGGGTGGTTGCTAGGGTCAGCAGTTACCACAGTGTGTGGAGGGTGGTTGCTAGGGTCAATAGTTATCACAATGTTTGTGAAGGGTGGTTGCTAGTCACCACAAAGGGTGGGTATTGAGTGCAGGTCCTCACACTCACGTCCACCACTAAGACAACACTCTTGACTCCTCTGTGCTCGACCACAAGAACCTCCCAGCTGACCCATTCACTAATCTCTTACAACTCATTCATCCCCATGCCGGAACAGCTGAGTCAAATGTTGACTCAGGTGGACTTACGACTGCCTGGTTGTACGAGCGCGCTGGAGAATTACAGGGAGAATGCCAATCTCCACACTCGCTTACATAATATATGCTCTAGTTAGCACTGTTCTCCCTCCCCCCCATGCAAAACATGCCCTTCCGATAAGGCACCAGGAAACGATAATAATGATGATGATTAATGCCGCCGCCACCCAATAAACTCGTCCCTCGGAAAAACATGACGTAAAGGGACAAAAACGCAAACAAATCAAGATTACTCGAGCGTATTGTTTTTATAAGAAGAAAGTGGAGGACTTACAGGCGTGTTCTGATTCCCATACTGGGGGAAACTGTGGCGTAACACAAAGCCGACACACACGCGTCAACACGGTGTGTGGGCAAATTTACAGAACCCGCAATTGACCACTACCCACCTCAGAAAGTGTTTGGTTACTAGGTGCAGGTTGCTAGAACACATATTTCACTAACATCTCATACTAGTGTGGTTGCAGTTGCTTGAACACGTTTCACCAACACGTGTTGCTGAAGCACCAGTGGCGTGGTAGCTGAGTGCGTGTTGCTGGAACACGTCTCACCATCACTTCATACTGGTGTGGTCATTGAGTGAGTGTTGCCGGAATACAAATCTCACCAACACTACATAACAGAGCAGCAGCATTGATCACTTTCTTGCGCCTACATGTATTGGGAATATGACACGACATAATCAGATTTAAATAATTTATCTTGACGGGAGGTCTAATTTTTCCACCCAAATAGTCTCACACAGCTTATTCATTTATTTTCCTCGTGGAATACCGATTAGGATTAGCTGAGCCATGTTACGGAACAAGAGCATGGGAAGACGGCCACCCAGCTCTCTAACTTAAATATCTTTCACGGCTTGTTATTTAAAAAGATTAAGGAATGCATCACCTTAAACAGAACCACACCTAAAACTTTCAAAAAAAAGACAAATCAAATAAATTTTTGCCTTAACATAAAGCTAACAATAATCCAATAAAACTATAACAAAAAAAAAAGTATGTTGGAAGCAGCTTACTGGCAAGGGAAACAGTTTGGGAGCGGATGTTTAAGGCAGGAAATTCCCCGCCCCCCAGACCGCTACTCACACGGCTGAGTTTAGGAATGATGCGCGTGAGCTGAACACCCTGCCAGGTCAATTGAGGTCACTTCCTGGCTTGCTCGGGTTACCATCATACTTTGGAGCGTGTCTTGTAATTCGCGAGGTGAGGCAAGTGAAAAGAAGTAGACTTTTGAACAAAGGTTGAGGAGGAGGGAAAGGCGAAAGAGAAACACGGAAAAATTTATGGAAAAACCTGAGTGAGAGAGTAAGCACGACCCAACAAGTGTAGCCCGGGTCCACCTATGGCTTACAATCACCAGCCCACAGCCTAAGAAGCCCGACACCAACAGGTGTTTTGTCATGGTTGTGGCAGTTAGAGGGGCCAAACCCAGCCCTTGGCAACACCTGCACCGTGACAGATGTCGCATATATTACCACCGTCCTTGACTATGTAGCTCAGTAGAACAATAAAAGGGCTCTTTCTCGGTACTCACACTGAAAAAAATGTCGTCGAACATTATGTATAGAGGAGTGACCTTACACATTACACACAGTGTCTTTATACATTATACAGTGTCTTTATACGTTATAGTGTTCTTATATAGAAAAGTGTCCTTGTACATTATATATAGTGTCCTTGAACATTATGTACAGAGTGCCCTTGAACATTATGTACAGAGTGCCCTTGAACATTATGTACAGAGTGCCCTTGAACATTATGTACAGAGTGCCCTTGAACATTATGTAACAGGGTGCCCTTGAACAATATGTACAGAGTGCCCTTGAACATTATGTACAGAGTGCCCTTGAACAATATGTACAGAGTGCCCTTGAACAATATGTACAGAGTGCCCTTGAACATTATGTACCGAGTGCCCTTGAACATTATGTACAGAGTGCCCTTGAACATTATGTACAGAGTGCCCTTGAACAATATGTACAGAGTGCCCTTGAACATTATGTACAGAGTGCCCTTGAACATTATGTACAGTGCCCTTGAACATTATGTAAAGTGCCCTTGAACAATATGTACAGAGTGCCCTTGAACATTATGTACAGAGTGCCCTTGAACATTATGTACAGTGCCCTTGAACATTATGTACAGAGTGCCCTTGAACATTATGTACAAAGTGCCCTTGAACATTATGTAGAGTGCCCTTGAACAATTATGTACAGAGTGCCCTTGAACATTATGTACAGAGTGCCCTTGAACAATATGTACAGAGTGCCCTTGAACATTATGTACAGAGTGCCCTTGAACAATATGTACAGAGTGCCCTTGAACATTATGTACAGAGTGCCCTTGAACATTATGTACAGAGTGCCCTTGAACATTATGTAAAGTGCCCTTGAACATTATGTACAGAGTGCCTTGAACATTATGTACAGAGTTGCCCTTGAACATTATGTACAGAGTGCCCTTGAACATTATGTACAGAGGGGCCCTTGAACATTATGTACAGAGTGCCCTTGAACATTATGTACAGAGTGCCCTTGAACATTATGTAAAGTGCCCTTGAACATTATGTACACAGTGCCCTTGAACATTATGTAAAGTGCCCTTGAACAATATGTACAGAGTGCCCTTGAACATTATGTAAAGTGCCCTTGAACAATATGTACAGAGTGCCCTTGAACATTATGTAAAGTGCCCTTGAACAATATGTACAGAGTGCCCTTGAACATTATGTAAAGTGCCCTTGAACAATATGTACAGAGTGCCCTTGAACATTATGTAAAGTGCTCTTGAACATTATGTACAGAGGAGTGCCCTTGAACATTATGTATGGAAGGGTGCCCTTGAACATTATGTACAGAGGAGTGCCCTTGAACATTATGTATGGAAGGGTGCCCTTGAACATTATGTACAGAGTGCCCATGAACATTATGTATGGAAGGGTGCCCTTGAACATTATGTACAGAGTGCCCTTGAACATTATGTATGGAAGGGTGCCCTTGAACATTATGTACAGAGTGCCCTTGAACATTATGTATGGAAGGGTGCCCTTGAACATTATGTACAGAGGAGTGCCCTTGAACATTATGTATGGAAGGGTGCCCTTGAACATTATGTATGGAAGGGTGCCCTTGAACATTATGTACAGAGGAGTGCCCTTGAACATTATGTATGGAAGGGTGCCCTTGAACATTATGTACAGAGTGCCCTTGAACATTATGTATGGAAGGGTGCCCTTGAACATTATGTACAGAGTGCCCTTGAACATTATGTAAAGTGCCCTTTGAACATTATGTAAAGTGCCCTTGAACAATATGTACAGAGTGCCCTTGAACATTATGTAAAGTGCCCTTGAACAATATGTACAGAGTGCCCTTGAACATTATGTAAAGTGCCCTTGAACATTAATGTAAAGTGCCCTTGAACAATATGTACAGAGTGCCCTTGAACATTATGTAAAGTGCCCTTGAACAATATGTACAGAGTGCCCTTGAACATTATGTAAAGTGCTCTTGAACATTATGTACAGAGGAGTGC